GACTAAGAAAAAGTAGCATTGAATTTCATACTAAATTAAATAGTTGAGTAGCTTATTGTTCTTAGAGTCCTCATTTGCTTACAATCAATTGAACGGAATACCTTACACCTACAATTGGATGAAAGAATTATAATTAGACAATTGTTTCTGATGAATCAATATTGAAAAAATAACCACCTTTAAAAAATTATAGATTTATATATGATTTTATAAATAATAAAGCCAGATATTTTATGAACGACATGTCATGTTTCGGTTAACTACATAAGTATACGATCTACTAATTAAATTGTATTTTATGTCAATAGAAAACGCATAAATCGCAAAAAATAGAGACATTATAATTACACAGTATTTATAAAACGATAGTAAATATATGAATAAAAAATAATAACACTATAGGTACTCCACACTTAAAACTTTGCACCACGCGAATATATAGCGCACGCGTTCCGTCAGTCTGAACGCTGCTGTTTGACTACTTCACGCGAACACAACTCGAGCTTATTAACATACGTAAATTAATACGTGTCTAACATCTGGGACCAAATAGCAATATAATGAATGACCTTCAATCCTCCAGAACTTCCAGACCGTATCGGGAGAATTCGATTGTTCCACAAAATTAATGTTGCAGATTAATTCAACAATTTTTACTATTATTCTCCTAACTAAAGATGTCTACAAATATTATTACGTTTTATGATTAGATTTATGAGTTTTTTTATGTATATTTAATTTAATGTTTGAGTAAAATAAAGAAAATGGTCCATTACCATTACCAAGAGTACTTATCTACCATTCAATATTAATAAAGTACTATTCTGAAACTAAGATATTCTGTTTCATCTTGTACTAGTTTGTCCGCGTGTCCTTCGGAATTGGACTTCGAGAGAAATGCATAAAATGTGTTAAAACAATAGATATTATGTTTAACAACTGTCAGAAAAATTTATAGCAGTATAAATGAATATTTATGATCCAGCGGGTAAATGAATTGGGGGGCTCAATAAAACAGGTCTTTGTTTTATTTTGGTGTATAAGCTACATTACTGTCAAAGCCATAAAAAAGTATTGAGGTGACAGAGGAACTTATTTATCCATAGACCTAATTATAAATTGTAGCAAATAGAAAAGTATTCATAAAATAAATATAACCAAACCTTGGTCGCAACGCCCAGCCTCCAGGTAGTGTAATCCTTTCTATGGAGAATGGTGAATTTATGAAATGCTGAGAAGTTTCGTCTCGTCTCATATATTTCTATATGTGAGCTTGTTTAATGTTATCCTATAAGAGTAAATTGATTATAAAAAGAAAACAAGATGATTGATTCTTATTTCTTTTTGAGGTTCTTGAAAATAATTTTCCGTACCCGTTAACAACATTCGCCAAATCTTCAACAAAAAAGAAACTTAAAATAGTTTTTATGCCTATAATTAGAGGCGTACTTTTTGCAATGACATCATCATGGCTAAAGAAATCGCTTACACATGTTAAGAAAGTGTTTCAATAGACACACATGTGATCTAAATCAAGATAAAGGCAATTGCCTTGATAATGCTATTAAAGTATATCGATAACTAAATTTAATCATGGATTGGCTTACATACGTCTTTAATGTTTATTGCAGTGTAAATAAACACGTGTTATTTCAGGACTGTAAGTAGATTTATACGAAATTCATTACAGTGGAATAAGTCGATGTTTTTAGTTAGTCCACGAGAAACAGGTATGTATATACATATAACTTTTTTTAGATAGAAAATAAATGGAAATAAATTTTGCAATTGGAATTTTTACTGCAGTAACCATATTCAGAAGGAACTAAACTAAAAAGAACCGTTTTTATTAATTAATTATATTAATTACATAATTATAATATTATGAATCTTTGTGTGATTGTTATAGATATAATAGAGCTTGCATTAAAATATTTGTGTTAAAAAACTGTTGTTTGGCATTATAATGACAGAGATTTAAACAAGATATTATTATTTAAAAGTAGATCAGTTTTGATAATTTTATTAAAATGGTATATACTTTTGTTTCACTTCAAACATACTTCAAATATAATTCCGACTATCATATATGATCCAAAGTCATGACTTTTAACAAACCATGGTTTGAAACTGATTTCTACGTATCTAAAATCAAAATCTAACGACAAAGCTTAAACAAACAAAAAGTACATTATGTAAAAATAATTTTAAAGACGTTCAGTATTTTTTTAATAGTTTAAAAAGAAAAAAATTAATAGGACCGGTGAAAATGTTTGTAGTTTCACTTTATGATCGAACGGGTCCGCAAATGTGATTAGATTTTGTTGATTTTTTTTACACTCATTGGTGAATGGTGATTAACATAAAAAGAAATAATTTTAATAATAAAGAATAAAAGTTTATATAATAAAAAATAATATATATCGAGTTATGAATATTGTTAATTAAGTATAGAAATAAAGTATACCCAGACACTGATGTCAAACGTAATTAAAATATATGACTCTAAATGAAATTTTATATATATTTAAAAATTATGATCTTTCAAATATTGACCCCTTTTATAAACTTGACATTTCAATGACTTTGATTAGGAAGATGTGGTAATAAATTCGGCTAAATTTTGCTTTACCTTGCTACTATTTTGGCCACTGGCAAACGAACTGGCCTTGACAATGTTTAACCATAAACCAGCCAAGGAACCATACGTCCAGCATTTTAATTATATCGTCCCAGGAAACTATATGGACATACAAAAAAATATATTATTCTTAGCAAGTGTGTATAAGAATCATTTATATTTACTTTTATTGTAAAATAAATTACTTTAATTTTTCGTTTAAAAAAAATTACGTTATAGCTATTCAATCTTCATACAATCGATTTGTTTTAACAGCAAAACATATTTGTTTTTTATTTCGTTTTTCTTTCTTTCTGCACATACATTATAATTTGTAATAGAAGTATTAAAAATAGTATTTCTGGAGTTTTAAAGACTATCTGTACCCAGAAAAATATTCAGAAAATTATTGGAAACTAAAGCGCCATCTACAAAATATATAAGAAACTGTTTCATTTATTGTCTTCTTATTGCTAACTACTCGATAGTAGATGGCGCTGTTGCAAATTTAGTAAGAAAGGTACGGCCTTAGTAGGACCTAGCCTGCATAAGACACAATTTTCAGTTCTCATTTTCGAAAAAATTGTTAAAATAACTAATATGAAAAATAATATCATGTAATGTATATTGATACTGAGAACGAATTTACAACAAAGCGGGATAGGTCAAATTGATTGCGTCTGATTGTTGATGAAATGAACATATTGTGGCTCGTTGGCCGACTAAAAATAGCACACTGACTCTTAGTCTTTATCATAACGTCCTTATGTTAAGTATCATTATTGGGTAATATGGTAGGCGTATATGTCTCGGATTCTATTTGAAATCAGCAGAAAATGAATAATCCTTCATTCTTGTTTATTTTAAGTATCAATATTGACTTGATTTATCATAATTTTGACAAAGACCTGACTTACACTTTATTATATAAAACCCTTCTATGACATTTTGATATTTTAGTCCGCCATATTGATGAGTTTTTGCCAGTCATGTGACGTTTATTTGCAAGTTCTTAATTCCGTCAGTTCTGCTACATATTGTCTATAAATAAATACAATTTACTTTTTCTCAATCTACACTATAAGAAAACTTCATAATTTTGATTTGGTACTTTGTAATTTTTTCATTATTATGTAACTGAAATAAACTTCTTCATAATACATGTTTGTAAATTTGAGAATTATAACTCGACACCCTTAAATGTTGACCCTTAAGAATATAAAATATGTGTATGAAGTAGTTTTATGATACTTTTCATGTACATATATAATATTAGATATGCATTTTCTAAATAAATTAAAAAGTGAGAAAACGGGGATTGAATATTCTAAATGACCTGGCTTTTACGTACAATCTAATTTAAATCAAATTCAAATCCAAAATACGCATTAATATTCATAGTTTGTTACTTTAGTATAAAGTTTGGTTCTTTAATAAACGGTTACAGTGAAGAAATAGCACAATACTTTTGATGCCATAAATCTTAATAATGAATGAGGTCGAGAGTGAACTTAAATGTATAATCAAAGCCGCAGGTAAAATACGAGTATATGTAGTTACAACACTATATAAAACAATATCCTACATATATGTAAATATTCATGTTATTTTTTTATTTTCAAAGAAACATATAATAATATTGATTTTAAATATTGATACTATAATGAAAACAATCCCAACTATTTAAATTTCTTTAACTGATTACTGATAATGAAAAAGTATAGTTATATTACAAAAAAGTTTTATATATCCTGAAATTTTAAATATAATACATAATAAGTTGTAGAAACTTTGTTAAAATTTTCATAGAATTTAAATATTAGGAATGTTTTAAATGTTTTAACTATTATAATTTATGTATTGTATTTTTAGTTACAATATCATTAATTCTATGTGAAGTATCTTCGTAAGAGTGTAAAACGTCATAACTTGTTAGCGATTGAAACTTTCATAGCAATTTTATGAAGGCAGTTAAGTATTAATTAGTATGTATACAGCTTTTGTAAAATAAACGATTTTATATCTTAGATACAGTTAATAAAAAACAAATTGCAATGAACAAGCTATACATTTGGTTTTAAAAGATAAAATGATTCATTTGTTTCTCAGTATTCCAAGCTCAGGAAATTAATGTTTGAGTGCTAATTTTATGATATTGCCGACTTTGAGGACTTATTTTTACTGTCAAGTTTATATTAGATAGAAAAAATTATACAAACTGTTCCTACATATGTATATGTATCAAAGATATCGGTCCGACTAGGGCCCTGGGAAAGAGTCAAACCCTCAATCTTGCAATTCACGTATATATACGACAACGTTTCTTTAGAATTATGCCACCTTTGAAGACATTGAATCTTACATTCTATCGAAACACCTGTCAGGCAACTGAAAATTATTTCAAACTTGATTAGTAAAGGGTACATAAAAGTTTATAAAAACATTGACATTGGAAAAATATTCCACAATTCCAGTGTGAATGAAGCCATATCATAAAAAGATTATAATAATATAAGTCATGAATTTATGCTTAAACTTTCAAAATTTCTGCGAAATTTCCATATTTAGTTTAAAAAATGTAATTGATGAAGCCGTTCTCAAGTTATATAGTGATCAGGGACGAAAGTGTTTTATTTTTATACATATAAATGTACCTGATAATAAGTCAGTATATTGGTCTAACTATACATAATGATATAAATTTTTAACTGTTACGAGGGGAGGTCAATAAGTTCGCGGAATGAGCGGGAAGGGGGTTGAAATTTAACACGAAACTATTTTTCCTTTTCAATATAACCTCCCTTAACCTTAATACATTTTTCGCATCTCACAAATAATTTATTAATACATTCGAAAAAAATTATTTATCTTGGCTATCAAAATAGGCCGAAATTGCGGACTTGACTTCTCAAATATTTTTCACCGCAGCTTTTTTTTCATTTTTGAAAACAAATAATAGTCGCTGGGGACTAAGTCTAGACTGTAAGGTGGGTGGTGTAGTTTTTCGAGTCCGCATCGGTGAATGGCAGCCGTCGCAACATGGCACGTGTGGACTGTTGCGTTGTCGTGCAAAAGGAGCACACCTTTTGACAGCTTTCCTCTTCTTTTTTCCTTGATAGCTTCTTTCAATCTATCTAATAAAGAAGCGTAGTACTGTCCCGTTATAGTCACACCACGATCTTTATAATTGATCAGCAAAATACCTTCTGTATTCCAAAAGACAGTCGCCATGATCTTTCCGGCCGATTGTGACACTTTAAACTTCTTTGGAGGAGCTGTGCCTTTTTTACGCCACTGTATCGATTCTTGCTTCGATTCAGGTTCATAGTGGTGAACCTAGGTTTGGTCACCAGTAAAAATCCAGTCCATAACTTCGTCCTTATTCTCTCCACAGAGCTTCAAAAACTGGCGAGAACACTCGACACGCTCGCTCTTTTGAAGTGGCGTGAGCATTCTTGGAACCCATCTTGCACTGAGTCATCCCAAGATGATGATGTAGGATATTTAAAATGCTTTTTTCGGATACTCTAACCATTGCTCCAAGCCGTTTCTTCTTCAACCGGGCATCTTCCAATATAAGTTTTTCTACTTTTGCGACTATTTTCGGTGTGGTGGCCTCAATCGGTCGTCCGGAGCGGGGGTCATCTTCAATGGACTCTCTTCCTTGTTTAAAAAGTCCATGCCACTTGTAAACCATGGTTTTACCAGGGGTAGAGACCGCGTAAACTGATAACAGCTCTTCAAAAATTATCTGAGCGGATTTTCCTTGCTTGGTGAGGAACTTAATAACGGCGCGGTGTTCAATTTTCTCCATACTCACTGACTTCTTCCCGATTCACTTGTTTGCAGGTCAACAACTCAAAAGTTAATGACCCGATTTGGTTCAAACTTGGTATATATACTATTAATGAGGTGTTGAACAAGTTACTACCTAGACGAGTAAATCAACCGCCTCTATCCCCTCCATTCCGCGAACTTTTTGACCTCCCCTCGTATTATTTAGTCTTAATAGCGTGATGCAATTTTTATGACGCTCTAATGTATTTAAATGCAAAAGACGATATACTTCTGCTTATTGTATTTAATCCAAAAATACCTATTATTTATAAAACTTAACAGGCTCATATTTAAAATATGTTTTACTAGCTTCCGCCCGCGGCTTCGCCCGCGTGAAATTAGTTTTTGTCAATCCTGGTCCCTTATGTCTAAGAGACTCTTACAGGGGCCAGCCTCACGTTGTGTACAAAAATATTTTTAAATGACCTAATTTAAAACATTTTTGTACACAACGTTTGCTGTTTTGTTATCATTTGTTAAAATGTGGAGATTGTTTGGACTCGACACTCGCGAGCAGGCCACGTATAGTTGGCCATGCGAAAAACAGTTTTTCTCTAAATGGACACCTGCTACTTTAAGTGTTTGCCCTTGCGCTTTGTTAATGGTCATTGCAAAGGCTGGTTTGAGGGGAAACTGTATTCTTTTAAACTGAAACGGTAAATCTGTAGGGATTATGGGTATGCGTGGAATCAAAACTTCTTCATCTTTAGCTATACCTGTCATTATAATTGCTCTAATAATATTGCGTCCTAGCTGCGTAATTTGCAATCGAGTCCCGTTGCATAGTCTCGGCGCTTCGAGATTTCTCATTAATAAAACTGGAACCCCAACTTTCAGTCTCAGCTCATGAGACGGCACTCCTGACAGCTCTAAAGAGTTTAGAAACTCGGTAGGATAAGACGTCACCTGTTCACTGTCCATGACAATATCTACTGACAAATATTCGACAACATCGCCTTGCACATGTGACATCATTCTTTCATTGATCTTTCCCACGATTTCATTGGTCGGTGCTAATATTGCCCTTTCACACAGCCATTCTCTATTCCTCATGTTATATTCTAAACCGGGATAGACGTTGTTTTTAAGATCTTCCAAGTTTTGGACAGCATTACAAAATTCTTGATTTAATGTAATCATGCCGTTAGCGTCCGTAGTCATTCGACCTTCACCGATTTTCAATAGAGCAGCTGCATATTGCCCCGATTGCGTATCATTATGTAGTTGTACTCGCATGTTTTTAGTGAGACAAAATTTTTTTACATGCACCCATAATGTAGACGCTTTCAAACATGCATTTATCTCATCTGCTGGAGTGCCTCTAGTAATGACAGGTAGTGTCTGTCGAAAATCACCAGCAAGCAGCACTACCATCCCACCCATTAAACTCGGGTTACTTCTGATATCTTTCAGAGTCCGATTGAGCGCCTCGATCGCTTTTTTATGCGACATTGTGCACTCATCCCACACCAACAGCTTGCATTGCTGTAGCATTCGGCCACGATCGCTGTTTTTTGTGATGTTACACACTGGAATTTCCTCATGATGTAAATTTAATGGGAGTTTAAGTACTGAATGTGCCGTGCGGCCACCATCGAGCAGCGTCGCTGCAATTCCAGAGGAAGCTACAGCAACAGCTATTCCTTTGTCTTTGCGAATTTGGGCTAAAAGTAAATTTAATAAAAAAGTTTTTCCAGTGCCTCCTGGCGCATCTAAGAAAAACAATCCACCCTCACCATTATAGATTCTTTGCACAACAATATCAAAGACTAATTTTTGTTCCGTGTTTAATCGAGGAACTGACTCTGATATTTGTTGCTGTAAAGAAGAGACATTGTAGTCCAGTTCTCTTATTAAATCACCACTGACTTCTCCGATTCTTTGTGGCCGGTTCATTCCAAAATCTGATAATGTCTTCCCAGATATAGCCATCACTTGGTCTTCAATCTTAGTTAGCGCCTCGTTATATACTAAATCATTATATGTGATATTGGGATTATTTTGTTGTAGTCTGTGCAAAATATCGTCAGACATATCATTTTGGTACTTTTCCCATAATATCTGAGGATTTGAAAGACCACACGTCGCTATGAGAATGGCAAAAAGATCTCTCACCTTAGCTGCTGATCTACATTGTGCAGCCTCTTCTAATGTCGAGTCCCAATGATTGTCATTCTCTAACAATCCTCTAGTTTCACAGGCTTCTCGGAAGGTAACAAACGTTTGACCGTTGTAGTTCTTGAGATCATTGAACGAAGTTGGCCCACGCACGTGGTGTAGCAGTAGTCTCAAACAAAAGCATTCAATGTTGCTAACGTGGACAGTATAGACCCGTCCTAATGCATCCCCAGATTTAACGCCAGGCCAATCCAGAACAGCAGATCCTTGAATTCGGCGTTTCCAACATTTTCTACCTGCATCCCACGTGTAATACCGAGGTACTTGAACGTACAAAAGTGTTTTTGCAAATTCATCTGATCTGCAAAGGTCAAAAAAGGCGGTCAAAGTGGTTTTTGGTGGTGATGTCACTCGCTGGTGAAAATTATTTTCATTAAAATAAATTCGTTCACCATTCTCTAGATGCACACTGAGGTGCGTAACAGTAGGATGCCTTTCATGCAAAGGAAACCCTAACAGGCGCCATACAGCTTCGTTGCTGCTGACATAGCGACCAGACTGAAACGTTTGTACTTCGTCTACTGGGTTTGAGGACTCTGAGCTTCTGAAATTAAAAATAGCTTGATCGCTGCCTTTATTAATATATTTGCAGATGTATTTGATTGCACGTACGGAACCGCAAGCTTCTACATTTATATGGGCGTTAAAAGTTTTTAATAGGACAGGCGAATATGGTACTACCCAACTATTGTCGACAGAAACTTGACTACCATTTCGGAGTTTAACAGATGCCGTCCGGCCTCCGTCTTCTGGTGCTCTTCTACGATACATCGGGTAGCCGTTCTCATTATGGAGAGTCTCTTTCAGTAGGTTGCGAGGAAATTTTTTTGTACATTTACGGTCTTTCATGCACTGGCACTGAGGGTTTTCAGCCCCGCATGGACCATGGATCATGTTTTTCATAACAATATCATAAAGTGCCTTGTCATTGTTAGGATCTGGTATTTCAGCGCTTATAATTTTATCGATTTGGTCAGGTCGCAATTTATCTTTTAACCAAAGCAAAATGTGGGCATGTGGGAGTCCTCGCTTCTGCCACTCAATGGAATACATAAAGCATTGCACTTCTCCAAAAACCCTTCCTTTAGTAATTACAGTCATAAGCTTTTTAACTTTTAACCTAAACACTCTGGCAATGACATCGTGCCTATCCTTGGCGCTTTGACCTGGCATTAATTCGTCAACTATTTCAGACCAAGATGGATTGCAGGTGAAGGTTACAAATAAATCAGGTCGACCATACGTACGCACATAGGCAAATGCGTCTTGAGTATACTCGTGTAAGTATCGGGGACTGTTCACAAACGAAGAGGGCAGAATCACCATTTTACCTATATTATTAGGGTTCACGTTGGCATCATTCGATACAGCATCTTGGAGATGAATATAATTTTCGGCTCTTAGTTTTGTTTGATTTAAAGATATGTATCGCAATCTTTCGCTTTCAACCTTCACGTACATATCAACATAAAACTGGTTAGCGAGCTGTTTGCATCGTTGTATTACGTTAAAATCGTCTTCGCGTATCATCATATGATAGGCATAAAAGTCCATGCTCGATACTTTTTTGTTGGGCAAGGGGAGCTTGGTCACTGGATTGACTTGTGGAATTTGAAAATGGTACCCCTCTTGCCCCTTGCTAAACATAAGCGGGTATTGTAATGCGTCATAAAACTTGTGTGTGTCCGGCACCCTGGTCAATGTATTGTCACGGGTTTGTAAAACAATATCACGCGATGCGAACTGTTCACCACACACCATGGCGGCGACTTCGTTTATTAAGGGTGCATTATAACGTCTTTCATGTTCCCCGCTTGGCGTACGATCTGGGTGTATTACTAATTTGTAATTTTCCCCTGGCATTCTTTCTAAGGCTGTTTTGAAGGTGTTAATGAGGTTATTATGTTCGTGCAACATTCTTTGAATTTTTAAAACAATGTCCCTCTCAACTCCTTCAATATTTTGACATCTGCGGTCAACCTCGCTGTTTTCGTCTCCCATAAAATAAATCTGTAGAAATTTTGGTTGATCATTGTTTGTGGGAAGCAAAGAACCAATCCTATGATAAACTTGCCCTTGTACCGTAAATGTGGGTGAGAATCCAGGCATGATGACCTCATTACCCACACCAAATGATGTCATCTGAAAGCAAGAATTGTACTTTCTTATTCTGTTTAAAAATCGCCGAGATTCATTGCTGTCATATAGAAGTAAGGATTTGAGTGGCTCCTCGGGGTCACCAAGCGTTGGTACTGATACTTTGCCTCCAGAACAGCACATACCTGGGGTCTCTTCCTTCCACTTGAGTGCATCACAGTGTCTGCATTTATTGGCCATTCTACCTATGAGGACTAATCGATGATTAAAGTAATCAATTAACGGATCATAATCAAAAGCAGCATCGGCAAATGCCTCCCACGTATTCATCGTAAACGTACGTCTCCTTTCTGCTTGCCGCTCGGAATTAATTAAACGTCCTCTACGTGTTTCTTCGGAGGTCTCTGCGGCTATGTACGAAGCTTGACGCTCAGCATCTAAGATTTGGCGAGCTTGGGTCTGCTGAGAGATCTCAGCAGCTCTTTGAGCCGCGTGACGCTCGGCATCAATGACGTGGCGAGCTTGGGTCTGTTGAGAGGTCTCAGCAGCTCTTTGAGCCGCGTGACGCTCGGCATCAATGACGTGGCGAGCTTGGGTCTGCTGAGAGGTCTCAGCAGCTCTTTGAGCCGCGTGACGCTCGGCATCAATGACGTGGCGAGCTTGGGTCTGTTGAGAGGTCTCAGCAGCTCTTTGAGCCGCGTGACGCTCGGCATCAATGACGTGGCGAGCTTGGGTCTGTTGAGAGGTCTCAGCAGCTCTTTGAGCCGCGTGACGCTCGGCATCAATGACCTGGCGAGCTTGGGTCTGCTGAGAGGTCTCAGCAGCTCTTTGAGCCGCGTGACGTTCGGCATCAATGACCTGGCGAGCTTGGGTCTGCTGAGAGGTCTCAGCAGCTCTTTGAGCCGCGTGACGTTCGGCATCAATGACTTGGCGAGCTTGGGTCTGCTGAGGGGTCTCTGCAGCCCTTTGTGCAGCATGACGATCAGCGTCTAAATTATGACGGGTCTGCGTGTGCTCAAAAGTTTCAGCAGCCCTTTGAGCTGCGTGACGCTCGGCATCTAAAGTCCGACGGATCTGTGAATCCTCTTCTGATTCCAGTGATCTAGCAAGTTTAGCAGCCCGAGTTCTGCTAGAGCTATTAGCTAAATTGGACTTTCGTTTGCGAGGCATCGTAGAAAAACAAAAATGAAATGAATCGAACAAAACAGATGTACAGATTAAGATTTATTATATAAAAAAAAACCTTTAATAAGCACCTACTCGGCAAAAATGATGCGCTCATCCCACGGCGGTGTCAATTAAACACATCGTCCGTCACGTTTAAATGGAAAAAAAGTAACTAAGAAATTAAATTATCAATATTTATTTACAACCAATGCATAAAAAAGTAGGAGGTTAGTAGCTTAGGTTAGTTTTACACCTACTACGACCTCTTAGATTAATTAAAAAAAGGAAATAAAAGCAAATCGGATTTTTTTAAAGTAACGGAAACTATCTTACCTACTTTTAACTATGAACTAAAAGAAATATCAAGTATGTACAAAATTAATTTACAGGACCTAATTAATAAAAAACACTTAAAAAGTTATACGAAACAAAAAAAATAATTTTACTGGATCGAAAAATGTAATTCTCTATAGCGCAAATTTCTCTAATCGTATGCGTCCGACAACGACGTCTGCCCTCACGTGTCTGCCCGTTCGGGTAGGCATAGTTAGATTCGTGCGCTCCCCCACCACACGACAGCGCCGCGCCGTTGCCTGCCGCAGATGCCGCCACACTTCGGCGAATGTGCGCGACGACGACCGACGGCAGCGGCGGCGATGCAGAGTATTCGTTAAAAGGAATTTAAACTTCAAAAGCGAACTTTTTTGTAACTTGATACACCCAAAACTTCTAAATTACATGTTCCTAGGTTCAGTGATTAAGATTTCGTATACAAAAAGTTTGGCTTTGTAGTTCCAGTTCCGAATCCGTTCCGTTCGAATTTCGGGAATTCCGTTTGTAGAAAAATTCTGCACATCTTTTGAGACCTACGTACCAAGATTCATGGTTTTATCTTCAATTCAACCCCTATTTCACCCCCAAACTGGTAAAAATTTCAAAATGCTAGAACAAACGATTTTTTGTTTCTTATGACGTGATATTTGACGAACTTGCATACTAACTTTCAACCCTTATTTCACCCCTTAGCTGGTCGAAATTTCAAAAATGCTAGAACAAATGTTTAATGATTTCTTATCAAGTGTTTAAATATAAAGTTTCATGGTTTTATCTTTTAAAATTAAGAAATCCCATACAAACTTTCAACCTCTATTTCAACCCCTTCATCCCTTTTTTTCGAAATAAAAAGTAGCCTATGTTCTGTCTCAGGGTCTAAAGATTGTCTGTACCAAATTTCATCAAAATCGGTTGCGAGGTTTAAGCGGGAAAGCGTAACAGACAGACAGACAGACAGACAGACAGACAGACAGACAGACAGAGTTACTTTCGCATTTATAATATTAGTAGGTCAATTCAACCCCTATTTCACCCCCAAACTGGTAAAAATTTCAAAATGCTAGAACAAACGATTTTTTGTTTCTTATGACGTGATATTTGACGAACTTGCATACTAACTTTCAACCCTTATTTCACCCCTTAGCTGGTCGAAATTTCAAAAATGCTAGAACAAATGTTTAATGATTTCTTATCAAGTGTTTAAATATAAAGTTTCATGGTTTTATCTTTTAAAATTAAGAAATCCCATACAAACTTTCAACCTCTATTTCAACCCCTTCATCCCTTTTTTTCGAAATAAAAAGTAGCCTATGTTCTGTCTCAGGGTCTAAAGATTGTCTGTACCAAATTTCATCAAAATCGGTTGCGAGGTTTAAGCGGGAAAGCGTAACAGACAGACAGACAGACAGACAGACAGACAGACAGACAGAGTTACTTTCGCATTTATAATATTAGTAGGGATTCAATACTATGATGAATCATACGTCTCCTTTTATTGACACTAAGTATAACCTTTGAAATAAGTAAAGATATGATGGACTTTCACTACCAGACTTATGTTAAACGGAAAAGCTTTAACACGAAGGGAAAATATCTTTAATAAAAAACGAGGTGTCAAACAAAATATGTCTAAAAATACAGACGATGTCACGAGTAAAAGTAAGTGATAAAATGATATAATAAATGTTTGAAAATGCTAAAATGGAGCATATATTTTTAACGCAGCCTTTTATTTAGATACGTTGCTAATTAACCTTTTTTCAAATTTCTTTTCATTTTTTAATTTGCTGGTTCGATAATAATTAGTGTGATGTCAAACAAGGTGCTTCGACGGATAATTGATAAGAATTGTATTACAATTTACTAAAGTATGTTAATTAATACGCTTTTCGATACTGTAAACGTTTTTGCTTCTCGAAAATTTCACGCGATTAAAAATAATATGACTTTTTATAACATAATTTTTAAATGAAACTAAGCATTTCGGATACCTACTACGCTTTTTTATTACTTTATAATTACATCATGTTTCGGATCTTTTACAGCACCCGTAATCATACTTCATTTAAATGAGTGGACGCTTATATTTACACAACATTCCTTTTTTTTCAAATGAACATAGCATTAATCAGTTATTAGGGATGCATAAAATAAAAAGAAACAAGTAAAAAGCAACATATACCTTTGAACATATAGAGGGTTTGAGGAAGATGTCCTATATATCAGAGATTCGAATAATAAAAAAATAAAAGTTATTAACATCCACTTAAAGTGTTCTTTATCAGGACGAAAAACCAGCTAACAAGGCTGCAATTGTAGACTGCTCTGCAAATATTTGAATTCGTATTACTTCGGTTTTGAGGAGTATTTAAAAAAAAGTTAAAAGAATAATGGAAAGCTGTTATGGATAATATTAACAAATAATTATATCTTTTTCTTAATGCAACCTTGTTTATCATAATGGTAAATTCCAAGTGGAGTAAAATGGTTACTCTATTTTTACGACTTTTGTTTCAATTTTCATTTTGTCTTTTGCAATGACTTCATCACATTGTCAAACTAATATTGGCTAAGGATCTGATAATTGCTATTTGAACCTTGTTTAAAAAATACAACAGTGCACAACAAAAGCAGTAAAAATTGTTAACAGTAAGCGTAATATAAAAAAAAATCGCATAGTCAAAAAATGTATATTGGCTAACTTAAATACGCATGAAACGCCAAATAGAGAAATCGCTGTTTATTTGCTACATCATAATAAACAATACAATATTCATAACTCTACGTTATGCGTTTAAGTTTAAAATATTATCCCAAGTTATCCTATTTTTCTCTATACTATGTAGTATAAGTCTCAATTTGGTAAGAAGAAAAATTAATGTTAGAACTTTGTTTTATCATAAAATTTAAACCTCAAAGCCTAATACGAAAACATGAAACTTCTACGATCTCAGTGGATATTGTTGTGCCATGATGTATTAATCCTTAAATTGTTCCTGGTTATCGTAACTAATATTGGGAGGCCAAATAATTTTGCTAAGAATATCGAAGATAATATTGTAGACTGAGGCTCGTCTTGTATGTATTGTATTTCAAATATACTCTTATATTTTTAAAAACTCCTAACTATTAAAAGTCATATCTCCCATACTTATATATTTATAAAAGAAATTATATATTGTTTTTAATGTGCAATATTTGCAACATTAATATGTGCAATTTAAAACGTTTCAACAATAAATATGTATATAAGATTCTTTTATCATCAGTAAAAGAGATAACAAGCTCTAAATAAATGTATATATTTATTTATGTTGGTTGTCAAAATAATGGTTATATTAACAACTAAGTACCTCTTTATTGAGTGAAGGAAGCGCTATACTAGCTACTCGGGTCATTCATCCACGGAGATGATGTGGACAACCGAATGTTCAATCAAGTCGAGTGTTTTTGGTTCGATAGCCCAGATATCTGGGGTGGTTTTTGTCCAAAAAAGAAACTAAATTTATTTTAGGTCCGGAAGACGTAATCAATGTCCAAAAAACTGTTCGGTACAAAAGGCTGAGGTCACTTCAACTCCTTGCAGTGAGAGCTTTTTTTGAACGAAGCGAGAAAAAAATTCAAATTCGTGTCTCCTATTATATTCATATGCATATTCTTTTTGTTTAACCTTCACCAAAAATAGATTCCTTTATCTTCAACATTATCAAATATTTTTTATCTCTCAAAATGGATTAATATAACGTTATTTATAAGGCCTATAGAACTTCACTATTATAACCAAGTTTCCTTCTTACAGCATGCAATTATACTAATGACTCTTGAATCGTGGTTATTGGGAAAGTTAAGGAAATTGGAGCGACGGCTGTCTTTGAACTGTCACTCGATAAAGTAATGACATGACATATCAGGATTCTCTTGAAGAAACAATTCTGTTAAGATTCATTTTAGTAAGTACTGGAATAGACTATCATTTAGGAATATCGTGCTTCGTAAAAATTTTAGCAATCATTATTTATAATAAATTTTAACCAATAGAAGAAATTCGAAGCCGTCAAATATTAAGACGTCTGCTGTCGTTACAGAAAATACTTATTTAGCTTTAAATATACGTAAGGAATCTTGTTTGCCTGTTTGTCTTATCAATCCGATCTCGAATTGTTGGCCTTAATTATCTAAATGCTTTAAATTAATTATCAGTACAATTTATACTTTTTAAGGCAACATTTTTATTCATGTTCCTATTAAAATTCTTAGTAGCGTTAGAATTATAATGAAATATAGGTTTATACTTGAACGTCATAAAACCTTCTTTAATGGGGTTATGATTTCTTCTCGGAATTAAGTTTTTTTTCTATAGACCTTAATCTTATTAAAACTTTATACTAACAAAGTATTATATGAATTTTTTTGAATGTATTTTGTCGGTAAATTGATAAAATGGTGTCAAAACCTTTGTGGCTTAAATTAAGATTATAATAATAAGCGTATTTCAACAGTTTGAGATCGGTAATAAGAAATGTGACAGCATTTTAATAAGCTGTCATATAAAAAGTAATTAATTCTACAAACTTGTGAATGGAAATAAAAACCAAATTACGTTTTATATTCATTGATCATACCGAGTGAGTGGATGCTGTTGTTTTATTGCAAGATATGAATAATATGTT